ATGGTTAGATAGCATCACTGAAGCAATGAGCATGAAACTGAGCAAACTCAGGGAGGCAGTGAAAGACAGGAAGGCCTGGCGCAATATGGTTCATGGGGTCACGAAGAGTCGGACACGACTTAACGACTAAACAACAACAAATTCAATCTTACTAGCTCACCATCATTACATAAGGCATTCAATCGTTTTTTACAAACTATACTCTGATTATTCCTTGAAGGCAGATACTATACACTACCCTGGAACAGCATTTTACTCTTTGACAGTAGGCACAGTTAGAGGACATATAATATTATATCCTATACTGCCCCTTTTATTATGTGATTAAGAGAAAAACACAGGTTAGATTACTAAGGACTTCATGGAGGGTAAAGCTGAATGTGAAAATCTTTGGCTGGTATGTCCATTCTCTTACACTGATAATCAAGTGGTCATTTTTACATTTTTTGGGGTGCTTTTAAAGAAGAAGGAGAAAGAGGAAGAGGAGGAGGAAGAGGAGGAGGAGGAGGAGGAGATGATGATGATGATGATGATTAAGACTATTTGTATGCCGCTGATTTCATCTAAGCATCTCTAGTGACTCTAGGTGGCTCACAATAGATAAAAACAATCCAATAAAAACAAGTTAAAAAACCTATATACAAACATATAAAAACCATCAATAATCAATTTAAAACAAAAAATCATGATCAACATCATATGTATTTATGTGTTTAGAGTTGGCCTTACATACCTTTAGTAACATTAGTGTTGTTATTCTGGACATAATACTATAATTTTACTTATATATGATCCTCTTTTTTTGCTTTTTGTTTTATTTATCATATTTAAGTTTAACAATGAACTTATAGTAATATAGTTATGCTGAATACATGCCAGCCTATAAGGCTGACATCATTTGCATGAAGTCAGAAGGAGGTGGGGCATAACTGGAACACTTATGGAATGTCTAAATAAAACGTATGGTTTTTAAGGTTACAAAAAAGGTTTTAAAATAAACCTTTTCATTTTTCTCCCGCAAGTTCTCAGCTTTGTTTCTTTTTATTCTTTGTAATTCCAAGAGGAAGATTCTCTTCTTTTCCAACCAGTCCTGAAAAGAGAGAGAGAGGAATAACATAAGATTTATAACAAACCAATGAAAAGTCTTGTGTCACCTTATGACAATTATGGCATATCCTAAAGCCTCAACATTGATTTCTTGATATACCATTTGGGTGGTATATAAGCTCAAGCTTATTAAAAGCAATAAAATTGATTAACTGCTATTTAAAACTGAATTTTTTTTAAAAAAAAAATGCACCTAGATATTTCTACAAACCAACTGGAAAACTGTCTTTTTAAAACCTTATTAAAGGCCAGACTTGCCTTTTCTGCCCATAGAGTGGTGGCAGCAGATAAACCTGGAGAGGAGTCTCCCTGGAGGATCAAAATAGGTGGTTCATCCATGGAATGGGAACTTCTAATGGGAGCTGACATTAGGCTAGGCTTAGAATCTGTACTAAATCTAAGTCCTCCTCAAGGGAAATAATTGAAACGTGGAGCCCTCACTGGGTTCAGAGCGTTTAGGATTTTCTTTAATCTAACCTAACTAATCTCCTGCACTGTATTTGGGATTTGGATGTGGTCTAATACAAGCCAATCACTTAACATTAAATGGACAAATTAGATTAACTTACCACTATTTAAATAAAATGAGATCTATGGAAGATCCAATCATAGCGTAAGTAAGATTGCTATATTTTATTTATTTATTTATTTATGTATTTATTTATTTTTTCATTCATTCATTAATCCAATGTATATGGCCACCAATCTATCCAAAAATCATCTTACAGATATGAGACACTTAGATACTGGCACTCTATCAAAATCTGGAAACTGTTAATGTGACAGATTTTCTCGTAACATTAAACGTGCTAAACATATACCTGGTAAACAGCTGCTCGTAAACTATCAGCTTTATCTAGCTCAGCACTGTATTTTTGTAGATGCTTGTTGTCCAAGACTTTTAATGTCCCTAAATATTGAGCAGATGTACTTGCTGGGGCGGGAGAGTATTTTCCTGTTTTCTTCAAATATGTAGCGCTTAAAGATCTATAGAATAAAAGTATCATACTAAATTATTAATCAGTTAAATAAACAGAGGGGTATTCTAAAAAAATATATGCATTCTTAGATTTATTATAGTCTCAAAAGTACATCTATTTGACTGAAAGCACAATTCAAGAAACAAAATTATTATATCCAGTCTAATATATTCTACAGAACCCAGTAGGCAAGCAGTGGCCTGCAAATATTTCTTGTCCGCTTACTGAAGCTCCCAGAAGCCTCAAAAGCCCTGCTCATTCTGCCACCCAATTAATCAGATGCAGTTCAAACAAGACTGCTGTTAACAAAGATCTGCAGCAGGACTGCTAGAAGGAAATGGATGAATTTTCTACTACCCAACTACCTTCCTAAAGGCTGCCGCTCTTTCTGCAATAGAAGAATGAAGCTAAGGGGATGAAGCTACATGATGGATAGGAGGAGCTGAGAAGAGGCTATATTAAGATAGAAACTTGCTTAAGAATTTCTGTGAAAGAAGAAATGCAGAATCCAAAGTCTCCACATTATTTGAAAAACTACTATATATCTGTAAACTGGAGACTGTCATTAGAACTTTTAGCCTATATAAGTGGCGGCAACTGTCTTTTTTTTTTTTATCTAACAAATCTTTATCTGGGGTTAGATTAATACTCCCATAATTTCTTCCTAAGATCTGATAAATATGCATGTAGTTTGTTTGTTTGTTTATTTATTTATTAAATTTATATGCTGCCCATCTCCCCCAAAGGGTGACTCTGGGCACTCACGATTAAAATCAAACATCAAAAACAGTAAAAATTATAAATATCCACATTAAATTAGCTAAAAAAAGATCATACTAGATAAAAAGAAGACTATAAAATTCAAGATGATGGGGGAGCAGAATCAATTACCCCACAAGCCAATTCCAATGATGCGAGCCCCCATCAGGCCCCCAGGCCATCTGACATAGCCAAGATTTCACATTCTTCCTGAAGGCCATGAAAGTGAGGGTGCGCTGCACTCAGGTGGTAAGTTGTTCAACAGAGCGGGGGCCACAGCAGAAAAGGCCCTCTTCCTAGACCCCACCAGTCAAAATTCCTTGACTGGTGGGGTCTGCAACATGCCCCTTCTGCCAGACCGAGTGGGGCAGGCTGATATAATGGGGGCGAGATGGCTCCTCAGATAACCTAGTCTTGTGCTATGAAGGATTTTAAAGGTAATAACCTTTAATTTAATTTAATAGCAAATATGGTCAATGACCAGCAAGTAAAAAAAAAAAAATTAAAAGGACTAAAATACAGTAAGAGTAGAAATATAATATGAATAAAGATAGAAAGAAAAAAGCCTAAAAAGAAAGAAAGAAAAAGATAAAACTAGAATGTAAAAGAAAACTGGTAACAAGGTATTAGCAGCATCATGGCAAAACTAGTATTTTCCTTCTGTGTATGTGTCATGTAGTTCTTTTAAACCCCTTAGTTTTACTTTGCTTGGATTGTCCTTTTCATCAAATTATTCGACCTGTTTCTAAAATAAAAACATTAAAATAGTTCTGTTCAACATGAGCAATGATTTAAGGAAATACATGCAACTTATATTTCAGAATGTTGCTTTGGAAAATCAGTACTGCCTTGTCACCTGACTCACAAATCTGGTTCCATATATTAAATTATATTGTCTGTAATTTATATATCAGGATATAAATTGTGAACATTTTAACATTATGCCACTTTGTACAGCAGTCATGTCAAGTTATTGTTAACTATGTCGAATATAATTAATGAAGTTTCCCAACCCAGCAAGATATAATTATTCATATTTCTATATAGCTCTTTTGGGAAGATTAAATTTCCTACCTGGTTTTAGCTTTTTGTGGAGCTGCCTCTACTTCTTCATATTCTTCCTAATATAACCAAAAAGAAAATTGGTTGTACAACCTAGTAAAGACCCAAACTACCCATGTAGTACCTATTTTGTGATGTTGGTGTGTGAAATTAAAGGCCTGAAAAAGGATAGAAAAGTCATGATATACAATTGCCTTTACAGAATATACACCAAGTATAGCACATTCCAAGGAGCCTTGCACGATGTCATTTTCTTTCCCCTTTTCAAATAGCACTAGAAGATTGGGGTACTTTCCAGAATAGCTGTAAAGCAGGATTATAGGCATTATGGATGAGTGAGAGAGGAAACCACCACTTTCTTCTAGAAAAAGAGTAATGCGCTCAACATGAACAGTCAGATTTTTGAATACAACCTATGCCTGCTATGCTATTACCCAATACTTCACTCTTAATCTGGTTCTTTCAAATACTTATTTTGAATGAGAGGAAAGAAAATATCATTCCATTTGAAACAAATACAAATACTGGCCTTTGTCACTTAACAGCAGAACATAGATCCAAGTTTTAAACTTGTAATAGCTATGTGTAACTAAACATATTTATGCATGCATGTACCACGCATGAGCATTTCAACATTATGCCACTTCACCCAGCAGTTGTGTCAAGTTATATCAGCAGTCATATCAGTTTGATTCCTGCCACTAATATATGACAATGGCCCATAAATCTTACCTTTGCAGAATCCTTTGAATTATCCATTATGGATTTTGAAGTACTTAATACTACTTTCTGTTCTGATTTATCATCTTTTGGTGTCTCAACAGATTCATCTTCAATGACACTGGGTTTTAACATCTGCACCTTTCGTTCTGGATAGTCTTCATTTGACTTGTATTGCTTCTTAGAATTCTCATAAACTGTGGTCATCATTAGTTCTATGACTGAAGGAGATTTTCTGTCGTTCTCCAGCAATCTGAGATCATGGCAATTGTCAACTCCTTTATGTTCATCATCTATTTTTAAAAAGAAAAGTTAGGATTACTAATTAAACAAAGATGATAACAAAAGAATTCAGAGGAATATATCTGGAGCTATATACATTTATCTTAGAATGGTAGATGCAGCAAATATAAATCACACTCACTCCTCAGTACATATATATCAATGTACACCATGAAGTGGGAAAATATATTTGACTGAGTGAAGAGACAAAGTGGGTGGGATTAAGGGAGGCAGATACCTGCATTCTTCCTTTTCTTAAAATATCCTGCTGGACTTCTTGCATGCACAAAGTGTCTATATGTGTGAGCTAAATTCTGTTGAGCTCTATGAGAATCCCCTTCTCCTTCAGATGCTGAATATTGTGCATATGATGTGATTATGCAGAAACCATGCTGAAATGGTTAGCAGTATATAAACTGATTTCAGAGACTATTTGCCTTAAGAAAATATCCAGATATAATTTTGCCACTGATAAACATGCAATGCAACTCCACTGGAAGTAAGTGTAAAAGAACAGCCTCATGGTACATGGCCAATAGAATTGTTCTTGATAGGAAGTAGGGCCATAACTTCATTCCTGGTAAGGATGATGTAACCACAATCTCCATGCAGGGAAAGGGGAACAAAGGGGTCAAATACAGAAATGATAAGTAACTACCCTGTGCAGGCTGCATTTCTCTGATAAATCTGGAAAAGTTAGTCTTAAACTCCTTTTCTTATACTCAAAAGAGTACATTATACTGTAAATCAACTAAAATATTATAATATGGCAAGCATTTAAGAACCGCAACCCTGAAAATGTTCATCACTTAGGGAAGCTGGGGCAAATGTATTTATAATTTTAGTGTTTGTGGATTTTACTTCACTTACGTTTAGAGATACTTAGTATATATCTGATACATAGATTGAACACAACAAGAAAAAAATAATTTCATGGAAGAGACAATATAATGTGGAGCAGATAGAAACAATTTGTCAAGAATTGTCTTCCATCATGTTCTAGCGCTGGACGCTGGACATGAATATCATTCCAATCCAGGAAGGAAGAAAGGCAGGCACGCATCAGGCAAGAAGAGAACCACAGACCATGGGCAGAGGATTTCCACAATGTTTATACTGGATTGACAATATGCTGATGCTCAGATGGATTGAAAGTGGTCTTAAACCTTAACCAATTTGAAATTTGTTAAAAATCATTTACAGTTATATTGAAAAATATTTTCCTTAATAAGCAACCAAAATATGAATATATAATGGCAGATAATTGTGAGAGAATTATAAAATAATTGGAACATTTAGAAATACAGTCAGCAGCATTTTGCACTCAACCATGCCAATTCTCATAGCAAAATTCAGCCCTTTGCCCCTAAAATCACAGAGCTAAAACCTTAGATCTATTCATAACCTTTCAATCAGCAAGTGAATAACCACTTCTGTTACGGCAGCCTAGTACTTGGGCTTCACCAATGTAAAACACAAAGAGACAAATTGTGAGGCAAATGATAGCCACAAAATCATGATTTATGTTTAAACCATGTAAACTGGCTTAATGATGTACAGTATATCAGCAGCAACACAGGCTTTTTCTAGCACAAATCTAATTTCAGACCTAGAGAAAAGAATACAAAGTGGGATATAAATGAAACAAACAATAAAAACACATAAAATTTTGATCTGTTTATATTATGGAACTTACATAAAAAGCATAAAAAAAGAAACAAAAAGTATAAGAGCTTAATTCTCTAGTCTCCTTTTGAAAAATTTAGATTAATTAACTAATTAATTAATTAATCTAAATTTTT